AGCCCACCAGGACCCTAAGATCTTCTGGGGAGGCCCTGCTCTCTATCCCGCCGGCTTCACAGGTGCGGCTGGTGGGAACGAGAGACAGGGCCTTTTCTGTGGTGGCCCCCCGGCTTTGGAACACCCTCCCCATAGAGGTAAGATCAGCCCCCTCGCTGATGGTGTTTCGAAAAAGATTGAAGACATGGATGTTTGAACAAGCATTCGGTTAATCCGGTGCAATGAATTTTGATGATTAAAGGATTGGTAATCATGGACGATGAATTTGGATTGCGATTCCAGTTACGAGATGCATTTGGATTGTTATTGGTGGCCCAATAATTTGTATTGTATATGTGTTTTTTACGCTTTTTATGCTTTTAAACTGAATATTGTTGTTCTTTGTAGTGTTGTAAACCGCATTGAGTCGCCGATTTAGGCTGAGAAATAGCGGTATACAAGTGCAGTAATAAATAAATAAATAAATAAGGTGACAGTCCATCGAGGGGGTCTCTCACACACACATAAAGATATATAGACAAATGCACATACACAAAGATACATGCATGCATTTATGCACATACCAGCTGTTCATGTTTTTTTCTTTGCTTTTCAGACAACAGTGAGAACTTTTCAAATAATAAAATAGTTCATAAAACCCTTTCATTATCATTATTAGTGTTCACTGTTTGTTATTTTCCATTGTTTCCTTCTCTGGCCTTACTTGGACACCATCTTCCTTTTGTTCATTCTTCTTCATAGAGTGATCCAAGCCAATTTGGGGGCGCATAATTGTTCCATAATCAGTGTTCAATAATGAAGACAGTCAAATTTGGCTGTGTCTGTTATCAGCAAAAGCAAATGAAGCTGTTTGAAAAATAGGGAGTATTGAAGGGATGGGAGAATCATGGGGAGGTGGGGTGGAGTAATCCAGTAGAAGGATGCACGTGGGTTGTGTGACAGAGACCACCATTAAAGGTGATGTTCCAGCTGCAATGCTTTGTGTGATAAAGTCCTGTGGTGATGGTTTCTAGATGTATTTGAACATACAGAATGCCACCCAGGTACAAAGGCTTTGGTTATATACACCTTGTCTCCAGAGCCAACAGCAGATGAAGATTTTTATACAAATTAACTACCCAACTGATAAGAAATTAGTTTCCCCCTTTTATCAGCTTCTTTCATAAAATGGTGCAAGATTAGTAGCTAAAAAGAGATGTGATCTTGGAACAATCTCTGTAACTGGCCTTTGAACTTCAAAAAGACATTTGTGACACAGCAAATTATTGTGCCATCAAGACTGGCTGATGCATTCTTTACCACAGTATTTGCTTTGTAAGAACTGTCCTTTTCTGGCAGGGTGAAGACATGTTTCAAAATGTGATGATAATAGAAGTCCCTTTAATCCACTTGCCCAAAGAATCGATTGGCCAAGCAAAGGGATACTTCACTTGATTTCGAAAGGCAAGGAAGCACTCAGAACTTAGGTAAGAAACGATCCAGAATGCTCTTTTCTTATCAGGGCACCCGGTCTGGCTTCCCTGCATCTCACGCTGGACTCCTGCCAGGTAGTGAAAGAGGCCTCACATGGGGAGCAAATCAATGGAAATCATCAGGGCTCTGACCCTGACCCTCCCCCTGGGAATCCATCGCCAATTGGCTGCTAACCTGCTAATAGGAGATACTAATCTTCCTCTGTCCATTAAGCTGCTTCTCTTGCTCCACTATGTAAACAGACATTTAAAAAATTCCTTTTCACACAAAATGGAAAAACCCCTTACACTGGGATCAGGGTTTGGAAAAAGTTGTCTTTATGGAGCTACATACTCAGAATCTCACCTCAGCAGAGAGGACGCTTTCCACACCTCAAGTGTAAATATAATGGTCCCTTCCAGGATCTGTTAAAAAATAAGGCAAATTGAAATAATTATGGCTTCTGGTCTAGTGTGTCCTGGGAATCAAGACTTTATGAAGCTATGGGGAATGAATACCCCTTATGCTTTCTACATCTATTTATTTATTTATTTATTTATTTCTGCTCCAGCGATTCCTGGATGACACCAACTATCTAGATCCATCACAGTCTGGTTTTAGACCTGGCCATGGTACTGAGACGGCTTTGGTTGCCTTGGTGGATGACCTCCAAAGAGAGCTTGACAGGGGGAGTGTGTCCCTGTGGGTTCTCCTGGATATCTCAGCGGCTTTCGAGACCATCGACCACGGTATCCTTCTGGGGCGGCTCTCCGGAATGGGTCTTGGGAGCATTGCTCTGCAGTGGCTCTGCTCCTTCCTGGAGGGTCGCTCCCAGTTGGTGAAGCTGGGGGATACCTGCTTGGACCCGTGGCCTTTGACCTGTGGGGTCCCGCAAGGTTCCATTCTATCCCCCATACTTTTCAATATCTACATGAAACCGCTGGGTGAGGTTGTCTGGAGTTTTGGAGTTGGGTGCCATCTGTATGCAGATGACACCCAACTCTACTACTCATTTCCACCGAATTCCAAGGAAGCCTCCCAGACCCTGAACCAGTGTCTGGTGGCTGTGATGGACTGGATGAGGGTTAACAGGTTGAAGCTTAATCCAGACAAGACAGAGGTCCTCCTGGTCAGTTGCGGGACCGACCGGGGTATTGGGTGGCAACCTGTGCTCGACGGGGTTACACTCCCCCTGAAAGTGCAGGTCCGTAGCTTGGGGGTCCTCCTGGACTCAACGCTGTTGCTTGATGCTCAGATGTCAGCGGTGGCCGGGAGGGCCTTTGCACAACTCAAACTTGTGCGCCAGCTGTGACCATACCTCGTGAAGTCTGACTTGGCCAGGGTGGTCCACACCTTGGTTACATCCAAACTGGACTATTGCACTGCACTCTACGTGGGGCTGCCCTTGAAGACGGCCTGGAAGTTTGATTTGGTACACGGGCGGCAGCCAGGCTCCTTACTGGAGCAAACTATAGGGAGCATACAAAACCCCTATTAAAACAGCTTCATTGGCTGCCGATAAGTTGCCGAGCCAAATTCAAGGTGCAGGTCATGACCTATAAAGCCCTAAATGGTTTGGCCCCTGCCTATCTCCATGATCACATCTCCTTCTATGAACCAGCGCGAGCTCTAAGATCTTCTGGGGAGGCCCTCCTCTCGGTCCCACTACCGTCTCAAGCGCGGTTGGTGGGGAAGAGAGAGAGCGCCTTCTTAGTGGTGGCCCCCTGTCTCCAGAACACCCTTCCAAAGTAAATAAGATAGGCCCCATCCCTCCCCTCCATTCATAAGAGCTCAAAGACCTGGTGGTTTCAACAAGCCTTTGAAAATGACCAGGTCTAACTCAGCGCCACACACTGGGGCTGTTACCCAGATTCTTTCCTCTAATCGGCCCCGGA